TTTTTTTTTTTTTTTTTTTTTTTTTTTGTAATTGAATTTCAACCTATTTTGATGATAAAATTCACATGCTTTTACTTTTTTTTTGCAAAGTGAAGCATTTAGTCAAACAAGTGCAAACTCAAAGCATGTAAATTAACAAAATTGATGTTTAATTTTATGTAAAAAATAAAAAATTTGATTGTGGTTGATGTTCTTATTTCATATACTTAAAACATTGTACCTTCAATATTTTTTGTTATATTTGACCTTGTTTTTTTATTAGTTACGTTAATTCTTGACTAATGACTGAGATGAACAAGTGAGTTGGAATTTAAGATTAATCAATTTTTCCAACTATTAGATGGTTGATTTTTTATTTATTTTTTTACTTATTTATTGACGCTTTGTTCTAATCCTGTGTACGTAAGATAACAGGTCAGACACGTAAGCATGTAGTAGTTGGTTTGTTGGCCGCGTATTTGCATAAAAATGTGTCTTTTAATGCTAAAATTGAAAGGAATGAATTAGCTTACAGAAACAACATAATTTATAATTTAATATTTAATTTAACCAATCTTCATATATATATATGTGTGTGTGTGTGTGTGTGTGTGTGAAGATTGAATGCATAGTTTGGTGAGTCCATGATTTGAACAATGGAAAATGAAGCATTAAGCAGATATGTGATCAAATCAGTATAAGAAATCACATGCTTTGGTAAGGTTATTGGAGTACAGCACTTGATTTATTGTATTGGGTCTATACTCATTTTATATACAAATTAATAATTATAATTATAATTAGGTGGGCGATGCAATGCAATTTGGTGAATTTAAATTCTATTGGTGGATTGAAAACTTTATTTTATCTCTTTTTTTCTTTTTGGTGGTCTTGATTCTCGTTAAGATTCCTGCGGAAATTAAAAAAAAAAAGGAAATGTCATTGTGTAAATAATGGGCATTGATATGGTCGTTAGTAGTGACTCGTGAAGAATCGGTTGTGATCCCGTCATCATTGTCAATATGAAAGGGGACCGGCTAAGCATTATGGTAGTCGGGCGGTTGGGAGTGCTCGGCGTCGCACGGTGTTTGGCGCCCCTCGAGTGCTCGGCATTGGAGGTGGTCGGGATGAAGTGTCTGGTGCGGCATCGTCCGGTATGATGAGTGCCCGGCGTAGGGTGAATGTTCGGCATGGGCGAGTGCCCGGCGTGGGAG